TTTTTGTCAATTTTATGCAAAATCCATAAAGGAAATGTGAAACAGTAGAAGTGTCTCCTCTGAAATCATGGGAGCACCCAAGAATCTCAGCCCCTCATTATAATCTTAACGGATTTCTGGTATTTACTGTGTATTTGCGTGAGTGTGCGGAGGTATAATTGTTCATGTCTGTGTGTGTGTGTGTGTGTGTGTGTCTGTGTGTCTGTGTGTGTGTGTGTGTGTGGTTGTCGTGACCATCTCGCTCTCTTTATACACACACACACATACAAATCTGTAGTTGGTTTTATTTATATATACTTAAAAATATGACTGGGAGGAGCCCTGGTGGTGTAGCGGTTTCGCATGGGGGCTGCTAACTGCAAGGTCAGGAGTTTGAAACCACCGTCTGCCCCATGGAAGAAAGATGGGGCTTTTTACAGTGCTGGGAACTCACAGGGGCAGTTTTACCCTGTGCTATAGGGTCGCTATGAGTCAGCTTCAATTTAATGACAAGAATTTGGTTTTATATGTAACCAAATATATATGTGTGTGCATATATATATATATGATGGTTACACACACAGTTGCTTATAGATAGGTAAAACCCAAATCCATATCCACTGCCAATGAGGTGATTCTGACCCACTGTAGGGGTTCTGAGGCTGTGAGTCTTTTCAGAAGCAGCCAGCCTCCTCTTTCCTGTGGAGCAGCTGGTGGGTTTGAACCTCAGGCCTTTTGTTTAGCAGTACAGCCAGCACTTACACGAAAAGCCACCAGGGCTCAGGCTGAGGAGGGCGGCTTCAGTCTGGGAGAAGATTTGCTACCAACCTGCAGCATCCAGAAGACACCAGGAGCTTGCTGACTGGGAGCGCAGAGCACTTCCTGGCGAAAATCACAGGCACAGCCCTCGGTCTGGATTACCCCTCAGCATGAAACAAAACCCTCCGCGCGCACAGTCGGTAACATCGTCATGAATGCAGAAACACGGGCGTTTTCAAGAATTTCATTTTGCTTGGACCCCTGGGAGCAGCAGTCAGGTCATCAAGCTGTATCAACCACAAGGGGTCTCTTCAGAGGGTTAGCAGGCAGAGGCACTGAGGACTGGCGCCCCTGACCCAAGCCATGGGATTTCCTGTTGCTTCCCAGGCATGTGAGTGCTGACCAATGAGTAAGGGAGACCACAGGACAAGCGATGCGTTTGAATCATGGTGCTGACAAAGAATATCGTAAATGCGGTGGGCTGCCAGAAGCACGCAGATCTGTCTGGAGAGGCTCACTGCCAAGGTGCTCCTGAAGGGAGGGTGGCGAGCCTTAGTCCTCCGTGCTTTGCTCCTGTTACCTAGCTGCGCTTTTCAGCACCCTGAAGAGGTCTTGTGCCGCAGATTTCCCCAGTGCAACGTGTCCTTTGATCTCTTGGCCGTTGCTTCCACGAGCATAGCATTGATTGGATCCAAGAAAGATGCAATCCTTGACAACGTCAGTCTTTTCTCTATTTATCACGATGTCACCCATGATTTGTGTGTTACCGGATGATGCAAAACTCATCCATGGGAGAGTGAAGAGCCCAGTCAGGCTGCTTGATGGTTTTCCCTGGCCGGTAAGGTGTCAGGGAGCCCAGGTGCTTAGTGAGTTCTGTGTCTAGTAACCAGAAGGTCAGCAGTTTGAGACCACCACCTGCTTTCCTGCAAGAAAGATGGGACTTTCTCCTCCCGTAATGATCTACAGTCTCGGATGCAGCCCCACTCTGTCCCGTAGGGTTTCACTGAGATGACAGTGAGTCTGTGTTCTTGTAAGATGGCATGCTTGAGTTGTGTGTGTGTGTGTGTGTGTGTGTGTGTGTGTGTGTGTGAGAGAGAGAGAGAGACACAGAGAGAGAGAGAGAGAGAGAGCGTGAGCACATCTTGACAGTAAGGTTCAAAAAGACTGTCTGCTTAATAAACTGATTTTTGCTCGTAATTATTCTTCCTTACTATGACCTGGGACTTTCTGTTTCCTTTTATAGGCGAGTGGCTGAACTCTTCATGTTTGATTTTGAAATCAGTGGAATCCACTTGGATGAAGAAAAGGTAAATCTTGCCCCTCTTGTGGCTGTGGCTCCTCTCTCTGAAGTACCTCTGGTGCTACCAGTCCTTGGAAACAACTCAAACGTGCATTTTCCAAACAGCCTGGGTTCCTAAGGGCCGCTGTCTCCCTAGTAGTCAGGACCATGACAGTCAGTCAAGCATTTGCTATTTAAAGCCGACACTTCTTTTCGGCTACTGAGGACAGCACCGACGGGGTACTGTGTCCGGTCCCACTCTACAGGCAAAAGGACCCAGGCCCCTGGAGGTTTGGGCATGTGCCCCCAGCAGAACAGTCAGTCAGTAGAGGGGTTCATTATTGGGTGTAGATGGCAGACAGCATCCACAGGAGTGGACAGCCTCATCCTTCTTCAGAGCAGGTGGGTGGGTTTGAACGATTGTCCTTACCGTCAGCAGTCCAATGTTTACCCGACAACTCCACCAGGGAAGCTGGCATGAAACAGGAAGGCAGAGTGAGGCTGGCTTTTATTTCCCCAGGGATTTTATCAGAGGAGAAACCCTGTGAAAGGTTGGTGGTCCACCCGCCTTGCAGCCCAGGGCAATCAGACTGGCCGTCTGCTCCCTCCCCCTCCCCCCACCCCTGGCTCTGCCACCTGGAGTTGGGAGGAGTCGAAAGGCACTCAGCGGCAACCAACGAGAGTCAGAGCTTTGGGGGACAGTTGGGAACCTCAGTGCAGTGAGCAGCCAGCGATCATGCTTTTCTGGAGGTGCCCTGGTGGCATGGTGATTAAGCGCTTGACGGCTAACGGGAAGGTCGGCCGTTTGAACCCACCTCCCAATCTGTGGGAGAAAGACGAGGCTGCCTGCTTCTGCAAAGACGACAGCTGTGGAAAACCTCTGGGGTGGCTCTACCCCTTCTGGAGAGGCCACTGGGGATGGGCCTGAAGGCAATGGGGGTCTTTTCGCTTAAAAAAAAAAAAAAAAAAAAAGCATCATCTTTTTTGCTATTCCGTCAGTTGCCTTGAGGTGGCGATAAATAGCCATGTCAGAAACAAAGTACCCACCCTCATCTTTCTCCTTAGGAGTGTCTGGTGGGTTTAAACTTCTGACCTCACAGTTAGCAGCCCAACACCTAACCCCACAGTGCCACCAGGGCTCCTGAGCGGAGTCTCTGAACATTTATTTTGAGTGAAGTTTGAATTGATCTACCTCGGAGTAGCTGGTGGGTTTGAACTGCCAACCTTGTGGATAACAGCCCAACACTTATCCCAGAGGATCACAAGGGCTCCTTCAAAAGTTATCCATGTTGCTTAATTGTTGTTGAATTATGGCATTGCTTAGAACAGTGGTCCTCAACCTTCCTAATGCCGCGACCCTTTCATATAATTCCTCATGTGGTGGTGACCCCCCAACCACAAAATTACTTTTGTTGCTACTCCATAACTGTAATTTTGCCACTGTTAGGAATCAGGCGACACTGTGAAAGGGTCGTTTGATCCCCAAAGGGGTTGCAACCCACAGGTTGAGAACCGCTGGCTTAGAATATATGATTAATGATTGGAAAACTTTCCCAGAAAGATTTACGTACAATTTCACCTAATGTCTAGTTGGCTCTCCAGGAGTGAATAGCGGAGTCTGTACCCCTCTTTCTCTGGTAGACCCACCAGCCATGTGGACCTTGATTGGTCCTCCTCTAACATCTTAAAGAAAGAGCCCTGGTGGTATAGTGGGCCAAGCAGCAGACTGCTCACCACAAGGTCAGCAGTTGAAACCCACCAGCTGCTCCAAGGGAGAAAGATGAGGCTGTCTGCTCCCATAAAGACTCACAGCCCCGGAACCTTCAGGCAGTTCTACCCTGTCTTCCAAGGTCAGTATGGGTCAGAAGTGCCTCAATGGCAGTGGGTTATATATGTTACTTATGTTTACATTTTAAAGTAGTTTCAATTATATCTTATTAAAGTATAACACATTTCCACTGGACACGTCGACCTGCCATTTGTCCAGGTTGTCTATGAATTGTGGAATCTTAATCAGACGTACCTTCAATAACTTTAAGGAGCTCTGGTGGCAAGAGTGGCTTCTGCATTGAGCTGCTAACCCCATAGTCAGCAGTTCGAACCCACCAGCTGCCCCAATGGAAATGGATGAGGCTGTATGCTTCTGTAAAGATTCAGCACCATCCTCCTCATCGCTCTTGTGTTCGATCGATCCCATCGTGTCAGTACATCCTGTGGAGGGAGGGCCATCATCTCTTTTGCTGACCTTCTGCTTTGTCAAATATGATGTCCTTCTCCGTGGATCGGGCCTCTGGTTACTGTACTTCTTCCAGTGTCACATGGCCCCCTCTCCACCCTGCAGCGTAAACGAGCAGTGGACCTCAATGTGAAAATCTTGGATCTGAGCAGCAAGTTCCTCATGGGAACCAACACCCCCAACAAGATCGGGAAGCACCTGCTGCCGGAGCACCTCCACCGGCACTTCCTCCTGGAGGGCGAGCACGCGATCGTGGACGGGCTGCATGCCGAGGCCCCCGACGACTGGGTCAGTGTCCCTCCTGCCCCTGCACATGTTGATGCTACCATACAGCGCCCGCTAAAGAGCCTTCGGGTGACCAAGCCCGCGGAGTGGTGCTCGTGGGATTAATTCCATAAAGCTTTGGGAAACAGAACAGGCCAGGCACTCCTGCCCGTCGCTGTCTCCTCATGTCAGCATCTGTCTGGGTGATAGCCGCAGTGGCGGACATCACTCGGCTGTTTCCCCCATGCAGGGAAGAGTGTGTTAGGGCTCGGAGACTCATGCCCTGGGGCAGATTTTAAACTGCTGGTTAGGGGACGTCGAGTCTTTGTCGACTCAGAGGGACCCTGTGCCTAAGAGAACAAAACAGGGCCCCCATTCTGCACCATCCTCACCTGCGCTCCTGTATGTGTTCCCGTGGCTGTCCGTCCGTCTTGTTGAGGGAGGGTCTTCCCCTTTTTCGCTGGTCTTCTACTTTATCAAGCCTGATGTCCTTCTTTGTGGCCCAGTCCCCTCCGGTAACATGTGCAAAGTAGGTGAGACCAAGTGTCATCCCGGCTTGCCCTCTGGCTGTCCTTCCTCCCAGGCAGTTGTTCCTCCTCCTGGCAGTCCACGTGTGCTTCACGTCCTTCGCCAACACTGTTGCTCGTATATTCTGTACTCCCGTTCCCTGGAACAGCCCCTAGCATCCCAGGAGCGTGTGCTGCTGCAGCCTGTGCTGGTGTATGAATCCGATAGCCTGTTCGCTTCGCTGAAGCCATGAACCAGTGAGGGCTTGTCGAGCAGATCATCAGCCTGGCACTCGGCAGTCCCTGTGCTGTTTGTTTCGGCTTTTATTTTTATTTTTTTACATTTTACTGGGGCTCATACAACTCTTATCACAATCCATACATACATCCACTGTGTCAAGCACATTTGTACATTTGTTGCCACCATCGTTCTCAAAACATTTGCTTTCTACTTGTGCCGTCAGTGTGGCCCAGTTTTCCTTTGGCCTTCCTGACTCCATCTCTCCTCACCGGCTGAACTTGGTCCTTGGGTAAAATGGTTCTAACCCAGGATGAGTTCCGTTCCGGACATGAAGAGGGACGAAGGACCACAGTCTTGGGAGGTCCCACCTGTCTCTAACTGGTCAGCCCAGTCTCTTTTCTGACTGGGAGTTGTATCCCAGATTATTCACCCACTTGCTCCAGGACGTTCCCATGCAACCCTTTTCAGAGCAGTTGGCAATGGCCAGCGGGCACCATCCAGTCCTTCTGGTCTTGGCTGTGGAGACTGATTTTGGGGTGGTTCCTTGGCGAACAGAGTAGAAGCAGATGGTGTAGAACATCACTTACATACACAGTGCTCTGCAAGGGGTCTTGGTATCTCTTGGGAGACTGTGGTCCTCAACCTGCTATGACGTAATTTTACAACCAGTCATCATCTGCAGAGGAAGTGGTAAGACTTAGCCTCTATCATTATATGTAAGATTTTTCATCCTGGTATTTACATCTCGTGCCTTTCCTCTTTAAATACAGGTGCGAGAAGCTGCTTATAAAATTTTCCTGTATCCCAGTGCGGGCCAGTTGGACTGCCTGGAAGAGTTACTCAGCCACAGAGACCTCTTGGCAAAGCTGGTGGGCTATTCTACCTTTGCCCACAGGGCTCTCCAAGGAACGATCGCCCAAACTCCAGGTAAGCTTCGTGCCTGGCTCTCAAGGCTAAAGGTGGGTGTTTATGAAACCGAGCATAGTGGGCTAAGCGCTGGTTGCTACCCTCAAGGTCAGCAGTTTGAAACCACCACCTGCTCCTCGGGAGAAGAAGGACGAAGGTTTCTGCTCCTGTGAATATTGAAAGTGAAAAACTCACTGCCATCGAGCTGACCCCAATGCATAGCGACACTGCAGGACAGGGTAGAACTGCCCTTGTGGGTTTCCAAGACCACTACTCTTCATGGAAGTAGAAAGCCTTCCCTTTCTCACCCACACCAGCCACTTTGTAGTTTCGAACTGCTGACTTTGGGGTTTACAGCCCAAATCATACACCCTGCTCCACTGGGCTCTCGACGGTATTCCCAAACTCGCTGACATCGAGCGATGTTGACTCACAGTGACCCTAAAGGACAGGTAGATGGCCCCCTCTGAGTTTCAGCGATTCTTCACGCTTTACAGGAGGAGAGAGCCTCCTCGTCCTCCCTCAGAATGACCAGTGTTGTCGAACGGCTGACGTTTGCCATTAGCAGCTCAGCTGCGGACCCACTGAGCTCCCAGGGCTCCGTCGATGATGATAAAGCACTGGAAATAAGTGAGGTTCACCCCCCTGTGGGAGACAGAGGACAAGATAAATTTCAGTAAGTGCACCTGCCCAGTTACTGATCGCCGAAGCGCTGGAGCATTAGCCACGCCCTTCTGGCAGTAACGGTGCTGAGGTGACAGTCTGCTGGCGGAGACTGTCAGGGTGATGAGGCAGTGTGGCCGGCCGTGACTCTCGGTGGTTGGCAGTTCTCTACCGTTCCAGTCTGCTGCTCTGCGGTGGGGGGATTTGGCAGTTGTGTCATGGAGTGCTCGGGCGGCTCTGTGATCGTGTAGTCATCCTGTTTTCACCTAACACCTCTCCTCCCAGCAGCCTGACCCTGACAGTACCGGAGGAGAGGAGCCCTACTGAGGAGCGAGCTTGTGCAGGGCAGGGGATGAGGGGGAAAATGACTGTGAGGGAAGACTTGAGGGAGGTGGGGGGATGAGTCTGTGGCTGCAGGGAGGAGAGGTACGGGGGCCAGGGGGGACCTGACAGGTGTGAGGAAGAGCCCCAGCGAGGGGCGTGTGATGAGAGATTCAGTCGTGATCTCACACTGACTGAGGAGCCCTGGTGGCGTGCTGGGGTCACACATTGGGTTGCTAAGCACAAGGTCAGCAGTTTGAAACCACCAGCAGCCCCAAGGGAGAACGGGAGGGTTACCTACTTGTCTAAAGAGTCCCAGCCTCCGAAGCCCACAGGGGCATTTCTCGTCCGCCCTGCGGACTTGCTGTGAGTCCGAGGCGAGCTTTGGTTGGGGACAGGGCGCCCCTGGGAGGCTTGAAGTGGGTGGTCCGGCTGAAATGGAGTGCGGTGAGAACTGACTGCAGAGCCGCCAGGAGGATCGAGGGCTGGCTGTGGCTCTGGGCTGGAGGTCCTCGGCCTGATTGCATGTCACGACCACCAATCACAGACGTCCAGTCCGTGCTAGATGCCGCACACATAGTTAGAGGATAAAACGCATGCCTTCGCTGGATTTAAATTTCGCCGAGGAGCTCAGGCCTCTGCTCATGCAGAGAAATAACTCAAGCTGGTGTATTAGCAGTGCTGACTGAGGGGTGCAGACCTCCCCCCCACCCCACCCCTCACACCCCAAAGTGCTGTGGGCATCGAGGCTGTTCAGGTGTCCGTCTGGGCACGTGGCTGTGGACGGTGTCAGGAGGCTGAGCAACTCGAGATGGACAGGGCAGGGCTGGTGACGCCTGAGCAACCAGGAGGAGGAAGGCGGGGGGCACCCCCCCCCCCCCCCCCCCCCCCCCCCGCAAAGGTGAGTGGGGTCTAGATGTGACAGGTGAATCAGGAACTTAGTTCACAGCGAGCCCTTTCTCAAGTGCGGGCAAGTGTGGCCTTCGTGCAAGGAGAGTTGGCCAGGTACACTTTTTGGAGTAGATTCTTCTCCTAGGGAGAACGTAAACAGCTGAAGGTAGTGCGAAGTAGGGTCTTTAGAGGGGAACAAGCTCCCAGAATTACTTGAAAACAGTTCTGCGAGGCAGCTGGTATTACAGCCTGCAATCAGATTTTATTTTTTAAGTAACTACTATCCACCCGCTTCCATCTCACCTCCCCTCCCCACCTCCATGCCACCACGCCTGGACCTCCTGATGGCACTTCAAGTGCTTTCAGGGTTGCAGCCGACAAGACTAAGGAGACCTGGTGGCACAGTAGGCTGTGCACTGAGCTGGTAATCACAAGGTCAGTGGTTCAAACTCACCAAGTCTCTCCAGTGGAGAAGGAGGAGGCTACCTGCTTCCACAAAGATTTGAACAGCCTTGTGAACAGTAGTTCTCCTCTGTCCTGTCCAGTCGCTATGGTGGGAGTGACTCGATAGCAGGTTTTTTGTTTTGTTTTTGTGTTTGGTACTTAAAATGCCCTTCACGGTACGGACAACTTAAACATGTAATGTCTCCTTTTACTACCTCTTGGTATTAATCACTATGCGTCAGCATGGACTCAGTGGTGTGGGTCTGTTTTGTGTTTCTGGTATGTCAACATGAGCATGTTTACCCGGAAGATTATTGACTTTAAAAAAACAAGTTTTAATAAATGGTGTATCCAAACTGTACTGATTTTTATAAGTGAATCAGCATCCACTCGTGTCTAAATTTTGCAAGAATGTTAGGCGTGTGTGCAAAACTCAAGTTTTTCTTTTATTGTGGATGTAACTAAATCCAACCCAAGCCAAACTCACTGGCATGGAGTCTACGTCGGCTCACAGCAACCCTACAGGACAGGGTAGAACTGTCCGTGGAGGTTTATATCAAGCCCCATCGTTCTCCGTGAAGTAGATAGAAACACTGAAATTTCAGAGTCTTTTTTTTTCTAGTCTTCTATTACCTCATTACAAGGCCGAAAGAGAGGTTGTGTGATCGCGTACAGACTCACAATGCTGGAAACCCACAGGGCAGCTCCCCTCTGCCCCATAGGGCCGCTGTGAGCTAGAACCGACTCCTTGGGTTGGCTGATGAGTGCGGTGCATTAGGTGCTGGGGCTGCGACTGACTGCGAGGTCACCCCTTTGAACCCACCAGCCGCTCTGCCAGAGAAGGGTGAGGCTGGGACGGCTGCCTCACGCCCATTTTGCGTAGAGTTGGCTCAAGGGTGGCTGCTTCGGTTTTGGTTTGGCAGGAACTCTTCACTCTGGGCATAATGTAGGGCTTTCGGCCATTGTGTACCACAGTCAGTCTGTCTGATAAGGAGGTCTCATCCTCCAGTCTGTCCCCAAGGTCTGTGAGCAGCCCCGTGCTGGCTCGAAAGTCAGCTCTCTGGGCCCCCGAAGTACGTATGTCAGATCGCCGTTCCGTAACTGTAATGCGTGTGCTCATTTTATTTCACGTGTGTGAACTTTTTTGTACTTTTCCACCTTCATTTCACTTTTAGAGACCGTCATGCAATTCCTTGAGAAACTCTCAGAGAAACTTTCTGAAAGGTCAGTTCTTATCTACTCTTTGGAGTATTTGTCATTTATGTAAAAAAAGAAAAGTCAGGATTTGTAAGTACTTGAGAAGGAACCGAAGGACACAGTATCAAGCCAAGGTGGGTCCATGGCCTGTGGTCAGCGGGGCCCCCTCTACATTTCCCTCTCACATTCCTAGTGTTGCCCTCGCCTTAGTGATTTCAGTACAAGCACCTGTGCATGCTGTTCCTTTCTGTTTGTTTGCTTGAGGTAGAAACGCAGTGGCTGCCGTGCATGTGTTGCTCTGTCGTGTCTAGCACACACGCATGTACAGTTTCAGTTAGCCCCGGTTTACGTCTCCCGTCAGACCCTCTCTAACTTGACAGGAGGTCCTGGAGCGCAGCGCGAGCAAGCTCGTGCTGTCCCCTGCGGTGCTGGTCACCGCTTTGTCATACCCATGATGACGCCCGTGTCTTCTAGAACCCTGCGAGACTTCGAGATGATCCGAGGGATGAAGAGGAAACTCAATCCTCAGCACGCTGTAAGTCACGTCATTATGGGGTTTTTTCCTTTTAAAAAACCATCATCCAAAGAATTCGTTCCCTTCATTCTCTGCTCAGTCTGCAAGGTCGCTGTGGTCTGCAGACCATCCACGGGGTCCTGTTTCAGAGTCTTGGGTCTGGAGAGTGTCAGGGTCCAGGCGGCCGAGTCTACAGGGCCGGGAAATCCGAGATTCCTGGTCTTAACTGACACGTCACACACACACACACACACACACACACACACACACACACACACGCACATGCACACGTATACATATAAAGACTAAAAAACCCCAAAACTCACAGCCATTGGATTGAGTCCGACTCAGCAAGCGTAGGATTGAGTGGAACTGCGCCTGTGAGTTTCCGAGAGTGTAACTCAGTACAGGAGTAGAAAGCCCCGCTTTTTCCCAAGGAGCTGCTGGTAGTTTTGAACTGCTGACCTTGCTGATCGCAGCCTAATGTGTAGCCACTATGCTACCCGGGCGCCCACGTGTAAAGAAAGGGGAACAGAATGCACACGCTCATCCTGCCCATCCTGCCCGGAGAGGCTGCTTCCTCTCTGTGGACACGTGGCTTCATGGTCTGAAGCAGACCAGCCGCGCTGAGGTCTCGGTCAGCAGTGTGAAGGTCACGGCAGCGCTAGCCCTCCTTTGTGGAGCTCAGCCGAGCTGTCTCATGTGTCCCACGCTGCAAGTGGTTGATGTGTTCTTGCAATACTCAGTTGTCCTTGTAGCGGCGTGCTGCCAACACCTCTGGAGCGCCCCCTACTGGTGCGCGGCTGCATGGGGTTGCTGGGGCTGCCAGAGCCCTGGGCCCAGGAAAGGCCCTGGTTAACGCACTGCATGAATTTGGGAACCGTTTTCCTGCTTCCCAGAGATCAGTCCCAGCAAACTCCCGGGAGCCCCAGGGACACGGGACCACTGCCATGGAGTCGACTACGCAGAGTGACCCTGAAGGGCAGCGGAGCCCTGTCTCTCTGGGTTTCCACGGCTGTAAACCTTGGCGGGAGCAGATAGCTCTCTCTCCCACAGAACAGCTGGTGGGTTCGAGTTGTGTGTGTGTGTGTTGGCACGGTGTTGGGCTGCTCTCCAAGAGGTCTGCAGTTCAAACCTGCCATGCAGAGAAAAATGGCTGGCATTCCAAGGATCTAGTTAAAACCACGTGCCTCTCCTGGGGAGAAAGACTTCCTGTTCCTGTAAAGAGTTAGTCTCAAAACCCACAGGGGCAGTTCTGCATTGTCACGAGGGCCCATGAGGAGCGCACAGTGACTGTTTATGGGAAAGGGCACACTGTGGAGGAACTGAGGCCCACCAGAGCCTCCTGACGGTGGGATGGCATAAGCACGGTAGGTGACCCCTCCAGAGCTCCTGTTCTGAGCCAGGTGTTCTGCCTGGTGCTCAGCCCCTCTGAGGGCGGGCGAAAGGTGAGGCCCACTGCTCCCATAGAGCCTTGGGGCCTTGGAAATCTTCTGCAGGGTTGCTATCAGTTGGAATTGACTCAGTAGCAGTGGGTTTGGTTTAGTGCAGTGTTTTTGTGTGTTTTTTTTTTTTTTTTTTTTCATAAAACAAGGTTTATCCTGTGACTGGTGTGTGCCAGGCATGGTTCGGGCACATGACAGGGAAGAATCCAACCAATTCCCTGCCCTCCTGCAGCTCACCCTCCACTGCGAGGTGACAGTCCTACGCAGGGGAAAGTGAGTAAGTACTGGGGGAGGGGTGAAGGCTGCCCAGAGAGCTTTAAACCTCCAGCCAGCCTTTGCATTAGCAGCCAGTGGCAGGCGTTTGAGTGCTGGGCGGGTCTGAGAAGCTGGCAGGGGAGGAACTTCTGTGGAGTCAGCAAGGTGGACAAGGGAGAACTTTCCCGGCTTTTACAATGGGGGTCGGTTCGACTTGAACCCCAGGCAGCCCGACATCACAGCCCAAGCTCATCACAACTCCTCACAGGACAGTTTGGGGGAGACGAGAAGTTTGGCTCAGTGGGCAAAACACTTGGCCACTAACCCTACCATCGCTGGTTGGACCCAGCAGTTGCTCTACAGGAGGAAGATGAGGCATTTGGCTTCACTAAAGTTGTACAGCCGTGGGAACCTCTGGGCCAGTTCGGCTCCATCCTATAGGATCACTCTGGGTCGGAATTGATTGGGAGTGCAGTATTTATTTATTTGTTTATATATATATTTTTAAATTAAAGACATTTTCTTAATTAAAAAAAAATGCATTGAGCAACACTAGCTTCCATGGCTGTCAGTTTTCCGTACGAGTCGTCCAACGCAGCGGCCAGCCTGGGCCTTCTTTCTGGCCTGTTTTCTCGGCCGGCCTTGGTGCCCGCTTCACCTGGGTTGCATATGAACTGGCACGTTGGTATTGGGAAGTGCTGTAAGCGTCCTGGGTTTGTTTTGAGCGAGCTTTGACCTGCCCTCAGGTGCATTTCGTCTCACTGCTGATAGCAGTGGGTCGATTTGGGAGCTGCCTTTGTGGGAAGGAACGCTCTCCCTGACTGACTGAACCCAGTCCTGCTGATGTTCCTGCGTGTCTGTTACAGAGTGTGTTTGCCTTCTCTGAGCTTATGTGTGCCACGCCTCTCCCCATTGGTAGACAGGGAGGTGGTGTCCACACCGCATGAACATGTGAAGGTTGTGCGCGAGGTGTGCATTTTAGTAGCCTCTCAGTTGGCATCCTGAGACTGTGGTCACTCTCCTAACTGTGACCTCTTCCCTCGTAGGAACTGATGCCCTGGGATCCCCCCTACTACAGCGGGGTACTCCGTGCCGAGAGGTGAGTGTGCTCTGCTCAGGTGGAGACGGGAGAAGGAAACGCATCTAGTGATCACTGGGCAACTGCCAGCAGCCCTGTTGGTGCAGCGGGTCACACGTTGGGCTGCTAACTGTAAGGTCAGGGTTCGACCCACCAGCGACTATGGGATGAAGATAGGCTGTCTGCTCTTGTGAAGATTTGCAGCTTCTCTTGTGTGATGATTTAGAGTCGACACACTGGTTTGGTTGATTTACCGTGTCTTTTAAGAAGCCCGGTGGTGCAGTGTTTCATTGCTCAGCTGTTAACCTAAAGGCTGGCAGTTCAAACCCATGAGGCGCTCCTCAAGAGAAAGATGAGGCTGTTCACGCTTGGAAAGCTTTACAGCCTCACATCATCTATGAGCACAGTGCTCCTCTGTCCTGTAGGGGTAATGTGAGTCGGAACCGACCCGGTGGTTTAGTGGATTATCATGTCTAAGATGCCCTGGTGGTGGATTGGTTCATTGCTTGGCTGCTAACCAAAAGGTTTGTGGTTCAAACTCACCAGCTTCTCCATAGAAGAAAGATGAGGCTCTCCACACTCGGAAAATCTTAGAAACTCTGTGGAGGCCATTCTCCTCGGTCCTATGAGGTCGATATGAGTTGGTGTCAACTCAATGTTGGGTTTAGTCCTTTGTTTTTACAGCGACTATGATCCAATTGGGAGTCCTGGTGACATGGGTTACTCATTGGGCTACTAGCCACGGGGTCAGCAGTTCAAAACCACCAGCAGCTCCTCGGAAGAAAGGGCAGCATTTCCCTGAGGGCACGCTCCAGAGGGTTTGAAAAGGAGGAGGAACAGAAACAGGAAACACGGAGCAAGTGGGAGACAAGATGTGGCGCTGGGAGGATTGCGGTCAATGAGATGAAACAACATGTGTCCGAGCTGCGGGAAGGAAAACTGGTGATCGGCTCTGTAACGCAATTCACAATACACAGTTTCACAACACTGATTGTGTAAAGCAGTGTGTGACCCTAGGAAGTGTGTAATACTCACTTGGTGACAGAGGCTTTGCACAGCCTGGCGGATTCTGATTCAACAACCACAAGGTGACTGGGGACACACCTGACCTCCTGACACCCAGAAGGGACTTCAGTTGATCTGGGTTCATGTTTCAGTCATGTTGTTACGTGGGCGCTGTGGGGTCCACGTGATTGCTAGTGACCCCATGAACAACAACAAAACTGCTTGGCCCGCGCCGTCCTGACAATTGTTAGGTTGAGCCCATGTTTGCAGCCGCTGTGTCCATCCATCTCTTTGGGGGTCATCCTCTTTTTTGGTTGATCCTCCACTCGACCAGCATGACCTCCTTCTCCAGGGACTGGTTTCTCAAGTGTCACCACCGTCACTCAGAAGGAGCATTCTGGTTTCACTTCTTCCAAGACAAAGAATGTGTGTGTGTTCTTGCATTTCGTGGCACCTCCGGTATTCGTCACCAGCACCATCATTCAAATGCACCGATTTCCTTGGTCTCATAAATTGTCCAGCTTTCATATGCACATTAGACAAGTGAGAATTTCATGGCTTGAGTCAGGGGCCCCGTAGGTCTCAAGGTCACCTCCTTGCTCTTCAACACTTGAAGATGTCTATGCAGCACATTTTCCCAACGCCATGCGTAGTCTAGTGTCTTAACTGCTGCTTCCATGAGCATCAATTGTGGATCCAAGCAGGATTAGATCCTTGACAACTCGAATCTTTTCTGTTTTTCACAATGTTGCCCATTCCTCCGTTTTTAAGTACTTTGGTTTTCTTTACATTCACACCAAAGGCTGTATGTAGTCTTTGAGCTTCATCAGTACACACTCCAAGTTTTTCCACTTCCAGCAAGTTTCATTGCTAGTTTGCTTATTTGGTTATTGTTTTCAGTTGGATTCTCTAGAGAGGCAAAGCTAGTGATTGTCTGTGTGTGTGTGTGTGTACATTTACACCAAGAAAATGGCTCACATAGTTGTAGAAGTAGCCAGATCAAGTCTGAAGGTCAGATGTTAAGTCCGTGGGTCAGAAGCCTTCAGAACCCAAGATCAGCAGGAAGACTACAGGTAAATGAATTTGTAAGCTCAATAAGTCAAATGACAGGCGACTGATGGCTCCCAAGATCGCAGGCAATATGGCAGGCTGTCAGATAGCGTTTAAAGAACAAGAGACGGAAGGGCCAGATGCAGGGTTCACACCCAAGCTTTTCCATAGCATCCACTGATTGAGGAAGTAGTTCATACCTCTGAGGAAACTTTCTTTCATTTACATCAGACCTGTGACTTAAGTAAGGGGTTTGCATTCCACCATAATATTCCTAGAGCTGATTGGGTGTTCGTAGCTGATTCCATTATGGAGTTGGTTGGCTTGTGTTCGGCCTCATCATGGGGAATTTCTAAGCCTTAATTACCAAACTACTGAGAATCCTGGCCCAGCCAAGCGACCCCCAATCTAACTATCACAGTCACTGATTCAGTAAGAGAAACAAGAAGAAAGGGAGGTGAAATGCCTGAGAAGGGCTTGCAACATTCAGGGGTTTGAAAGTCTACTTTAAGTAGCTTAAGAGCTAAGGACTCTATTTTGATTTGAGGTTTCACATGAAGCAAAGCAAAACAGAACTGGACTGAGGCACAGTTAATAGAAAAGAAAAGAAGGAAAGTGCACCACTTTGATTTTGGAACCAGAGAGTGGAACAATGTGATGATTTCACAATCCTTTTAAGATCTGTTGACTTTCGAGTAAAGCCTTAAATGTGCGGTTTGACATGGAATGAAAATCGAAGGGGCTTTTTCTGCTTTGAACTTTTCTTCAACTTAAACCCAGGGACTGTTTGTTTTTTTCTTTTATGTTAAATGCTTTTGGCGTATTTCAAGCTTCTGAAATGTCCACGGAGAGGAAAGAGTCTATTTGCAAGAGGAGTGGGGGTGCGGGCGGGGGGATCAGTGAGCAAGGCTAAAAATCTGTAACTCTTAAGGAACAGCCAGATTTTTATTTTGTTCTTTGTCCAGTTTTAGTGTTTGGGCTTTTAGTTTAGATTAGCGAGTAAAATGAATGTTTTATGTTATCAGAAGTATTTATGAAATCGACATTGAATTATAGCTTGGAGTAGTCAATAAATGCGTAAAATTACCAAAAAAAATCAAATTGCCTCTCAGACACATTCATGGAGCATGATGCCCCTCCTCCCCCTCCTCCTCCCTGGTGTTTTAGTGTGCCCTTCCAGATTTGATTTTATCTTTTAATGCTTTGGGGGCTTTACTTCTCTTCTGCTGGAGTGGATGTCAGTGCCTCATAGTCCACTTATTTTTGTGCTATTTTATATAAAGATAATGCCCAGGAAATGGAATCCCATAGCGTCTCCTCCTTGCTAGATGGAGTCCAAAAGTCTAAAGGGCATTCATACAAGAGGGCTTCAGGCAGTTTGTGGAGAGATGGAATTAAAAGGTAATGGGATGTTCCCACATGCTCTTTGAAGCCCCGCCTCATCAAATGCAATAGTAATGCTCTGTGGTATAACTACCCAGAAAGCACTGGGTGACGGTACACTCTCACGGGAGGGTGGTAATGTGGTTTTCCTTGGTGTGTTAGTCTGGGTAGACTAGAGAAACAAATCCACAGACACACATATGTGTATAAGAAAGAGGTTCATATTCAAGAGAAATTGAACATGGAGAAAACATCCCAGCCCAGTCTAGATCAAGTCCATAAGTCTGATATTAGCCCATATGTCCGATATCAATCTATAAAGTCTCCTCTTCAGATGCACAAAACACATGCAATGAAGCCAAATTCAGGACGATCACAAACCAGTGGGTAGGAAGTCTTTGGATCCAGTGGCGTTGTAAGCATCTCAGTGCTGGCAGGGGTCTCTCTGTGGCTTCTCCGGCTTCCGAGGTCTGGTTGCATCCATGTGGCTTATCTTCTGCAATGTCTCCCAGGGAGTAGCAGAGAGAGAGAGGTGTCTTTCGCCTCCAAGGAGGAAGTACCAGATTTCCCAGAATTCTCAGGAGAAGGCCATGCCCACAGAAGTCTCATTGGCTATCTCCAGATTGACAGCCTAGACTCTACCCCTACACTCTTAATCCTTAAATTGACACCAGATTAGGTGACCACCACACGTGGCGAACCTATACAGTTGTCTTGTTATGCGTTTGGGGGTTGGTAAAAATTAGCCTCTTTTTCATGAAAGCCTTCCAAATCTGCAGAAGTGGAACGCCTAAATCTTTACAGATGGGCCAAGGTAGCATAGAGCCACTTCCCATATTGAGTCATATTCAAACATTTTGCCTGATGGGCTTCACTCATCGTTTTTTCTTGCCTTTCCTTTCCTTTCTTCCTTCTTGATACTTCCTTCTTTGCTTCCATTCTTGCTTTCTCCTTTGGTATTAAAGCACAGCGTTTTAAAAATAAACCCTAGACCTGGTGCCATGGTACATATTAATTATGTATCTCTAAAGAATAGGGAGTTTTTTTATGTAACCCCAATATCCTCATTGCCTTGGAAAGTTCACAGTAATTCATTGGCATCATCTAATTTCCAGTTTATATTCCTATTTCTTTGAAAGTCTTAGCACTGTTTCATGGCTAACTATCTTATTTGAAGAAGCCCTGGTGGTGTACTTGTTATGAGTTTGCTGCTAACTTCAAGGTCACCAGTTCAAAACCACCAGGCTCTCTGTTGGAGAGAGATGGGGCATTTTACTCCAGTAAATAGTCTTGAAAACTCATAGAGACAAACCTACCCTGTCTTATAGGGTCATCATGAGCCAGCAACAAGTCAATGCAACAAGTCAAAGCATCGAGTTTGGTTTGGTTTAGGTATAATACGTTGACAGGGAGCTGCCAGAATTCAAGCTGATTGAGAAGAGGCCGTGGGACCAGGGATATCACTGCTGACGTCAGATGGCTCACGATTGAAAGCAAGAGGATACCAGCAGGATGTTCGCTTGTGTGTCGTTGACTTTGCAAAAGCATTGGATTGTGTGCATCTTAGCTAACTATGGGTAACATCGTAAAGAATGGCAATTCCACTGCGTACTCATGTGGAACCTGTACATAGACCAACAGGCAATCATTCAAGAAGACTAAAGGGATGCTAAGTGGTTTAAAAGCAGGAAAGACGTGGTACATGGGTGTCTGCTCCACCGTACTTCTTCAATCTGTATGCTGAACAAAGAATCCAAGAAGCTGGAATATAGGAAGGCAGATGTGGCACCAAGATTGGAGGAAGGCTTGTTAACAACCTGCCATACGCAGATAACATAACCTTGCTTGTTGAAAGCGAACACCAAAACAACAACAACAAGAAGAAAACAAACTTACCATAATTGAGTCAATTCTAATTCATAGGGACCCTGAGGGACAGATTACTGAGACTAACTCTTTACAGCGGTAGAAGACCCCGTCCTTCTATGGAGCAGGTTGTGGTTTCAAACTGGTAAACGTGTTTGTGGTTAATAGCTCAACACATAACTTCTCTGCCACCAGAGGACTTAAAACATTTACTGATGAAGGTCAAAGACCTTCGGTATGGATTATACTTCAACATACGCAAAGAAAATGGAAATCCTCATAACTGGGCCAATAAGCAACATAAAGATCAATGGAGAAAAGAATGAAGTTGTCAAGGATCTTACTTGTTTGGACCGACAATCAATGCCCATGGAAACAGCAGCCTGGAAATCAAACGACCTAGTGCAGCGGGGCAGTCTGCCGAAGGGAGACCTTTAACGTTTTCAAAAGCGAAGCCGTCACTCTGAAGACTAAGCTACACCTGTCCCAGCTGTGGTGGGTTCCGTTGCCTGATACTGCAAGCAAAAGCTGGTCAAGGCGTAAGGAATGCCAGAGGAGAACTAAGCGCGTTTGAAGTCGTGGTGTTGGCAAAGAATGGGGAGCACACCATGGGCTGCCAGAGAATGCGTAACTCTGTCCGGGAAGAAGTGCAGTCAGAATCTCCGTGGAGGTCGGGAGGGCAAGACTTGGCCCTGTGTCCTTTGGGCATGTCACCAGGAGGGGTGAGTTCTCGGAGAGGGACACCACGAGAGAGAGGAAGGCCCTCAAGCAGCTGGATGGACACAGTGGCCGCAGCGACGACGGGGCAGGACTGGCAGTATTTCCTTCTGCTGGGCATTGGGTCCAGAGCTGACTTGCCGACACCGAACGACGACCACAACATGGTTGCCTGGGAGGTAGTTAGACAGGTTTCCAGAATCATTCCGTTCTTTTGTAGCTGCCATGCCTTTGTTTAACCAGATGGAACAGTAGTTCTCCCAGGGGCTTTTAAGAGCACACATTTCAAAATGCCATCCAACTGTGACATTGTAATCACGCTTAGACAATTGCCCCTCGTGCCAAAACCTGTTGTATCTCACCGGCTGTTGAGAAAGTGCAAGGTGGCTTCTCCGACAGCCCTGTCAGACTCTGCTGTTTCCAGTGTGTGGTTCTGGCCGGGTCCACACAGGCCCTCTGGCAGGCGGTCCGGTCCACGGCGAGCGGAGGCACCATGGGCAGTGGCAGTTCTCCTTACCCTCGCTTTCAGTTAGTGACGGGAACGAGGGCAGCCGCAGCCTCTGTGTACCCGCCCTTCCGTCCTGGATTCGGTGACTGCACTTCATTGTGTGGCATATTTTCACTCAGTTCCGGGCCAAGATTTTTGGAGCGAATGTCCAAGTTCTTTCTTTACCTTAATTCCAGTTGCATCCCGATGAAAATATCGGTCTGACTCATAGACTGTGTGGTTCAGAATGGCTAAAAAATAACAACTCAGAAGGGAACTAAAAGGGAATTTTCTTTCTTTGTTTTAACAGTTTTATTGGCATGTCATACAATTCAGTAATCCAGTCCCCTCAAGAAGAGCTGTACGGTCCCCACAAGCAGGACTAGAACTTTGTTCTTTGTTCTTGTGCCCAATGTAATTAGCTCCCCATTCCCCCAACCTGCCCTGCTCTGCCCTCAAGGGATCATTCATCCAGTGGCTGTCTCAGTGGTTTCAGCTCTCCTGGATTTCCTATACAGAAAAACATGAAAACTAAACTAACAGTAATAAAGCATAGAAACCTCAATCAAAAAGAGCAGAAAATATTAAAATCTAGAAGAGGTTTAAAATGGATCAAAGGGCAGGCCAAGAGATAGGGTGTTACATTTTAACCTAAGTGCGTCTGTGGTTAAAAAGGAGAATTTGCCTGTTGAGGGTCTCTTCTTGATGGCTACATGTGAGGCTTTGTATTTGTGGCCTTGATGTGGATTTTGTGATATAGTTCAATTCTGTTCTGAATCAAAACAAACAGGCTTAGTTGTCTTGTGCGCTTTTAACAGGTTGGTGATGTGTTTGATCCTCGATAACGTGGAAGCCCATAGGTAGCGCGAGGAGCCTTGGTGGCACAGTGGGCATGTAATGGACTGCGACCTGAAAGGCCCGTGGTCAGAACCACTAGTCGCCCGCAGGAGAACAGAGTCTGTCCCCTCCCGTCAGACTGACAGCCTTGGAAACCCTCGGGGCGCTTCTCCTGTGTCCAGGAGGGTCCCCAGGACTGGGAATTGACTCAGAGGCACTGGGTAATACATGAGATATCTTTAGCCAGAATGCGAAGCAGAGCATTCTTGAATTGTATCCAGCAACTGTGCCGGATGACAGTGCTTTTATTTCTGTTTCTTCGTTCAGAGGAATCAAAGGATTCGAAGATGATTATTTCTGGCTCCAAGTCAGTGACGTATTTAAAACAACAACAACAACAACACAACAAACTCACTTCCATCCAGTCCTTGCTGACTCATAGCAACTCCAGGACAGGGTAGAACTGTCTCCGGGGGTTCCGAGACTGTCACTCTCTGTGGGAGTAGAAAGCCCCGTCTTTCTCCTGAGGCGCTGGTGGTCTGAGACCGCAGCCCTCCTGATTAGCAGTCTAACGTGTTACTGCTACACCACCGGTGAAGTGTACGTCTTGAGAACAGTAATATGACTCTCCAGGGAAGGGTCAGTGCATTTGAGGTGATGGCAGAGTGATGGTGAAATGAAATCCTTGAACTGCAATTACATTTTGGGACATTTCATCCACGGAGCCCTGGTGGAGCTGTCGGGTGGGCAGTTGGCTGCTACCTGCAGGGTTGCTGGTTTAACCTACCCGAGCTCCTTGGGAGAAAGGCGAGGCTGTCTGCTCCCATGCAGATGTACAGCCTCAGGGTCACTGAGAGTCAGAGTTGACCCGATGGCAGGGGCTTGCTTTATGTTGCTGGGAGACGCTGGTTCTGACTGGCTGGCAAAGGTCTCTGTGCTGCCTGTAGTGGTTGCTCATTGTGCTGGGTCTCCCGATGAGCCAGGACAAGTCTCACAGGGAGTCTCTGTGCAAATGAGGACCCAGCTGTTAGCATGCTCAGCTGCTTAACTGACAGTCAGTGGAAGTTTCCAGTCCAGCCACAGGCCCCTCGGAGGAGAGACCTGGTGATCTTTAGAAAATCAGCCCTTGAAGGTCCACCCGGGTCTTGAAGACCCACACAGTTCTACTCTGACACACCAGGAAGTCTCCAGGAGTTGAATCTGCCCCACTGCATGCACCTGGCTGCGCAAAGATGGGGCGGCCCGCCGAATTCACAGGCAGGTCTTGAGTTTGATGTTGTCGCAGCAGGTCTCTGAGGATGTACAGATAGCGTCCATACCCAAGACCTGCCGAGGTATTTTCAGTTGCCACCCGTGCATGTGAAAAGTGAACAGTAAGTAAGAAGACCAAAGAATTGATGCTGTTGAACTATGGTGTCCGTGGAGAATATTCCAAGTCCCGTGGACTGCCAGAAGGACAAACAAGTCTATCTTAGAAGTACAGGCAGGGTACTCCTTGAACGTGAGGGTGGTGAGACTTTGCCCCACATACTTTGGAGAGTTACCAGAAGGGACCGGTCCCCAGAGAAGTACCTCAAGCTTGGTCAAGTAGAGGTCAGTGAAGAAGAGGAAGACCCTCAGCGAGATGGACTGACACAGGGCTGTAACCACGGCTCCAACGGATGACAGTCGTGAGGGTGGCACAGGACCAGGCAGTGATTGGGTCTGTTTTATGTAGGGTCGCTGTGAACTCACTGCAGGGCAACTCTCAGTACTTTGAATCTGACTTGGTGTTCCTCAGAATTTATATATACACACACGCACACACATGTGTGATATGTTATAATTTTTTAGAGCAATTGAAGAGGCCAGTGGGAGTTGGGGCAGGAGACTCAGAAGTCTCTCTTTCACCAAGGTCTCTTTGCACCTGCACAGCCACCTCTGCGCCCAGGTGGCTGGGGCCTCTCCCCTGTGTGCAGGTGGAACAGGAAGATGGAAAGGCAAGACTTGGAGGTCCCTACAGAGGCCTTCAATAAGGCAGGAGAGGGGGTGGCTGGCAACCCCTGACCACCTCCACCTCCTCAGCCCCTCCACGCTCTGTGTTGGTGGAGAAGGGGTGGTGCAGGGGTGGGGGCCCATGCTGTTCTCATCCGAGACTGGCTGGTGCGCTGCGCAGCTGGTGAGTGACTAGGGGCAGGGCTGGGGGCGCACTGAGGCCAAAGTGAGGCCTGACCCGCCAATATTTGCATAATGATGGTCTTTGGACACTAACCGTGCTGCTAAGTGAGGAGGGGGCGTCCTGTGAGTCAGAATCAGGCTGGCGCCCCTGAAGAAACGGGGGTCAGAAAACCCCTCAAAGCAAAGGTAGACACTTTTGAGTGCGTTCTTCCGCTACTGTGTCCCTCCATCACTAAATGGGAAGGAAACTGAGTTCACCGTAAGAACTCGGAGTAAAGGAAGACCCACCTGCCCCCCCTTCCTTCCCTCAGGTATAATATCGAGCCCAGTTTATACTGCCCGTTTTTCTCCCTTGGAGCCTGCATGGAAGGCCTGAACCTCTTGTTTAACCAGCTACTGGGGATCTCCCTGTATGCCGAGCAGCCTGCGAAAGGGGAGGTGTGGTGTGAGGACGTCCGAAAGCTGGTGAGCATCCCCATTGGCATAGAGCCTCATGACACTGACCTTCCCGTTTCGGCCATTGGGGTAAGCAGCACCTTCATCTCTAGCCCAGCTCTGTCCTGGTCGGGGCCAAGGGAGGCACATCCCACCTCCTCTGTGTGTCACGAGGAACCCAAATTGCCCATCTGAATTAGGACACTGTCCAGAGAAACCTTTCTTTCAAGTCACTGGGTGCCTAAAATTACAGGAGCCCTGGGTGGCGTAGTGGTTGCTCATTGGGCAGTTCGAAACCACCAGCCGCTCCTCGGGAGAAAGGTGGGTCTGTCCACTCCCTTCAAGACTTACACAGAAGCTCACAGGGGCAGTTGTACCCTGCCCTGTAGCGTCACGATGAGTTGGCATCAACTCGATGGCAGTGAGCTTGGTTTTGGTTTTGGCTTTTTGCTTTTGAGATAGGCGCCCTGTTGTGCGGTAGGTTATATGCTCTCTACTAACAGCAAGGTTGGCAATTCAAACCTAGCAGCCTCCGTGAGGGGGAGAGATGAGACTTTCTGCTCCCATAAAGATGTACAGCCTTGAACCTAGGGAGCAGTTGTGCCCTGTCCTACCGGTGTGGTCTGAGTCACAATCAACTCAGTGGCAATTGGGTTTTCTTGATTTATTCTTGAGAGAGGTGCCCTGGTGATACTGTGGGCTAAGCACACACAGGTTGCTAACCAATTGGTCGGCAGTTCAAACCCAGTAAGCTTCTCCACAGGAGAAAAATGAGGCTGCCTGTCCTGTAAAGATTTACAGCTCCAGAAACCCTATTATACTGTTCCCTATGGTCACTATGAATTGGACAGCAGGATATTTGGCTTGTTGGGGGACAGGGAATGCTGATGTGCAGCGGTTAAAGCACTTAGCTGCTAACCAAACAGTTGGTGTTTGAACCCACCAGCTGCTCTCCAGAAGAAAGTTGTAGCTCTCTGCGTCTGTCAAGACCACAGCCATGGGGAAGTTCTAGTCTGCCCTAAAGGGCTGGTTGGAGGCCGAATCAACTCGATGCCCATGGGTGCCTCTGAGATGGGCATTGATGAAGGTGTTGCTAGCTTCCACCTGAGGCCAGAGGCGCCATTGTCTAAATTTTTGAGTCAAGCTGTAAGGTGTGTGGGTATTCTTCCACTTGCAGGCAAATTCATTTGGCCACTGTAGTTCTGTAGTGGGCACGTACTCCTGACTCCATGTGGGTCGTTTGAGATTGCTTGTTTTGGGGGGAGGTTATTATAAAGGTTTGGCAGCTAAGACTAAGGATCCAAACAATCTCCTGCCCTGTCCCGGACCCAGCCTTCCTGAGACAGGATCGTTGGAGAGAGCACATACGAGGATGTGTGTGGGGTGGCTGTGGTGGTGAATTTGAGTCTATTTGAGACCAGGTGAGATGTGGAGAAATTGTCCATATACCAACAAGACAGGTCAAGGGCACAAAGGGGGAGATTTGGACAGAGTATGCACAGAGTTCGTGCAGTATCAGAGGGCTGTATTTCCCAGAGTCCTTTGCTACCTTGGGCGGATGTTTCCCCACCCATAGGGATTTTCCTGAGAATCTTCCATAACCAATTGCTTAAGAGTCCGTGTGTACTAGGGTGGAATCAGAAACACTGAGACCGGCCACGCTGGCCGGGGAGGTTTTACTTCCTCTGAGGAGTTCGTAATAAACTTCTCTTTTGGATGCCCTGTGTCTCTCAAAGTAAATCTCTATTTTGGAAAGACAAGAGCCCAAACTCTGGTAACTCCAGGGGCTTCAAAAAGTTTGTGGGGAAAATGCCCATGTTCTTTTAATAGGGTGTTCCCTCGAACCTTTTGATGTGCCCTTTGATGTGGCTGTGGGTGTTTTGCAACGTTTCTGTGTGCGGGATGGACCCCCTCACCATTGTGTGCGCTGACATTTTCTTTCTCCCCAGGCTGTGGTTCACGAGGCCCAAGGATTGCTGGGATACATTTACTGTGATTTTTTCCAGCGAGCTGACAAACCGTACCAGGTGACTCGGTCTTGATAAATTGGTCCATAGTTCATCAGCATTTATGGTAGCTTTAAAGATCATGATTGTTTTCCTGTACTATTTATGAGATCCTACTTATGATCCAGGAGCCCTGGCGGCCCTGCCGGGTGAGCAGTAGGACTGCCAGCCACCAGAGAAGGATGAGGCTGTATGCGCCCGTAAAGGCGCTGCCTTGGAAACCCTGAGTCGGGTTCCATGAGTTGGAATCGTACCTGATGGCAGAGGATGGGTCAGTTAAAATTAGTAAAAACATAAATTTGAAATTTGGGCAAGTTTAGGAATAAAATTTATTTAAAACTTTTGGAAGTTTAGGAATAAAAATCTGTGTCCATTGCTTCTCTCTGGGCACAGACCGTGATCTGAGTAATGATGGGGAAAAGCAACAGCAAAAGACCCATCGAATCAATTCTGACTGGTAGCAACTCTAGGACAGGGTAGGGCAGAACAGAGCCTCCCCTGAGAGTTCCGAAGACTAACTCTCTGTGGGAGTAGAAAGCCCCACGGTTCTCCCATGGAGCACCTGGTGGTTTCGAACTGTTGACCTTGTGGTGAGCAGCCCAACGCCTAATCCCTATGCCACCAGGCTCCTAACGGCAGCTCGCGTCTTACAGCTCTTCCATGTGTTAGACAGCAAGCCAACTAGTCACGCTCGTGATGGGGAAACTGAGGCACCGCAAAGCTAAGTTACTTACCCAGAGTCATGGGCCTGGAAGTGCTAGGATTTGAACCCACACATTCCGAGTGGAGTCCCAGCTCTCAGCTAGTTTGCAGTCACAGAAGACAGGCCCGCACGAAACGCTTGCCAACCGCCAGAGTCGCTCGTAGAGGACAGGCAAGGCTCACCTCGCGATCAACGTCTGCCGCAGGGAGCCCGGGGCTGCATGCAACGGGCTGGGAGACGTGAAGAGTTATGGGTATAAATAATCTGGGGACACAGCGATGAAGCGCCCCGCTGCTAACCAAAGGCTTCCGTCTGTTTCTGTAAAGATGCCCAACCCTGGAGACCCCGTGGGGCCCTTCGACTCCGTCCTGTCGAGTTGCCGTGAGTCAGGAATGACTCGAAGGGGGAGCGTGTGGGTTTGGTTTGGGAGGGCGCATTACAATGCTCGAAGCTCTTTTAACAGATGGCAGCCTGCTCTAGCCTCACAGGCACCCTGTGGGCGTCACAAGGTAGTGTCCTGGAGATAAGGCTCAGCGCAGACGCTCCGAGATGGCTTGGCTGGTTGGTGCCAGAGAGGGGACCGGGATGCAGGCCCTGGACTCAGTCCTGCGTTCTTCTCTCCCTGCGTGGGTTGAGGGAGCCGAGGTCTGCTGTCCTCAGTGCCGGTGGGCACAGGCCTTCCGTGCGGAATTCCAGGACAACTGCAGTCTTCCCACGACCTCATCCTGGTTCATGCTGCCCCCAGGGCGGCTGTGAGGAATGAGTGTGCCCGCCTCGGCTGCGGCTGCACATGCCTCGCTCCATGGGGTGTTAGGGCCCCCACTTCCAAGTGATAAGGGAGGAGCTCGTCCAGGCTGACGCTGGGACAGAGACCAGCCCACAGTCACCTCCCATGTCTGGAACTAAACTGGCCCCTGTGGCTCCCTTTTCAGCCCCACAGTGGACAAGTCTTTGAGGGGAACACAGGAAGGCAGCCACACTGTAGAACAGCCGCCATTGGGGATCCAAAGGGCAGCATTTGCCCCAGGGCAAGTGTAGAATTTTGAGGGCAGAAGGAGGGCTGGGAGCAGGAAGTGCAGGAAGAGGTGGGATAAGCGACGGAGCAGGAACTGAAGGAGAGCGTGCAGGAGCTGTTGAGTGAACGTGCATTTCCTCTCCGCCCGTTCACAATAGAGCTGCTTTGTGAAAAAGGCACGAGAAAATGCCGATTCGTTTGTTTCCTTACCCATAGAAGGGGCTCAGGGAACAGTGGGGTCCCTTCCTCAGAGAGCTAAGCGGCTGCCCTTCCTCCTTGGTTGGGACCTCTTGGAAGCCCTTGGATGAGTGCGTTGCCAGCACATCATGAACCCGGCTTGGGGCACGTCCTCGTTACCGGTGTTGGAAGCACCGGTTTTCCCAAGCTCATGTGAAGGGACAACGTGTGGTGGAGATACACAGCAGACAAGTCGCGTTCACTTGACAGTGGGGCCCCTGCACTTGGGTCCAGGGCGCTGCGGTCTGATTGCTAACATCCTGCCTGCGTCCGGCCCTCCCAGGACTGCCACTTCACCATCCGCGGAGGCAGGCGGCAGGCGAACGGCGACTACCAGCTCCCGCTCGTGGTCCTGATGCTGAACCTGCCCCAGCCCTCCAGGGGCTGCCCCACCTTACTCACGCCGGGCATGATGGAGAACCTCTTCCACGAGATGGGCCACGCCATGCACTCCATGCTTGGGCGCACTCGTTACCAGCACGTCACCGGTGAGTTGGTGGCGTCCTCGGGGCTCTGAGCACCGTGGCGGCTCAGCGGGTCAAGTGTGGGGCTGCCCGCGGAAAGGTGGTTGCCTATTGCCCACCAGCTGCTCCCTGGAGGAAGAGCAGACCTCTGCTTCCACCAAGATTCCAGCCTCGGAACCCCTACCGGGCAGCTCAGTTCTGCCGCCCTCCCCCCTTTTAAAAACAGTTTTCTTAGCATGTAATTCATATGTCATGCCACTCAGTAGTTCAGTCACATGCAGAAGAGTTGTGCGATCACCACCACAGTCCGTTTTAGAACATTCTCTTCATTCTCGTCCTCTTTGCTATTAGCTGCCCACTGTCCCCACAGCCTCCCCTGCCCTATCTACCCCTCCAGGCACTGCCTCTAGATTTAGCCCTCCTGGATTTCACAAACAGGAGAGAGAAATGAGAAACCTGACAAGACTCACGAAGTAAAACAGATGAGCCCCTCCATGGGAAAGAATATGAAGCCCTAGGACAGACTGACGTGGATCAAAGGGAGACCACCGACTCTGCCCGTGGTGTCACTCTGCTGCGGAGGGGACGCGGGGCAGGGACTTCTGCGGTCGGGCATCTCAGAGAACCTCTGGGATTCCCAGCTTGCCCCCTGTTTCCCGGGCATACGATCCCTCTGCTCTTGCTAGCAGCACCCCCACAGGCATGTAGGAACCAGTCGTAGCCACCCCTCTTTCCGTCGGTGCTCTTTTACACGGTGTTGTTTTGACATGGAATTCAAGGAGCCCGGTGGTGCAGCGGTTAAGCACTTGACTGCTGACCCACTCCCACAGCCCTGTACCCCAGGAAAGACAGCCTGGAAACCCCCGTGGGGCAGCTGTGCTCTGTCCCACGGTGACTGCATGGGGATTCCCGTGGTGACACCAGCAAGACCGCCCTGTGAGTGTGTGGTGGGGCGTGTGCACACGCACGTCCGCATCTGCTCAGTGCCTCGCACAGAGTTAGCGGGGCACCAAGTGAACACACACAGGCCTGATTCAACCAGTGTGTTTACTGGAATACGGGGCTCTAAATAGATGAGGCAGATTATGGCGTTCAGATACTTTCTGCCCTGGTGGCACTGTCAGGTAAGCATTGGACTGCCAACTGGGAGGACGGTGGTCCAAGCCCTTCAGCTGCTCCCAGGAAGAAAGGTGTGGCTGACTGCCCTGTGGGGCTTGCTGGTCCCACAAGCCCTGGTACACAGGGTGACTGTGCGTTGGGACTGACTCTTTGTCAGTGAGGTGCATTTGATTCTGTAAGTGCACAGAACCCCGGCCGTAACAGCTTGAAGATGCAGGGGAAAGAATATCATAATTCAGCAATGATGGTAACGGTGTGTGTGTGCATATGCATGTGTGTAAATATATGTGTATATGCGTGTATATACAGATACACACAGATATGTATATATATATAGAGAGAGAGAGCCACAATGTTATAAGTTTACTAGTATCAGTTTATTTCATGTGACCTCCCAACAACCTTGTGAGAGAGCATGGCAGATATAGCTGGACTTTATTAAGAAGCTGGTGTGTGTGTGTGTGTGTGTGTGTGTGTGATTAAAGGATCTCCAACTAGGGTATTTCAATGTCAGATTTAACATTTTTTGTTTTACACAATGTTGACTCATTTTATTCACAATCAATTAAAACACATAATAAATGATGTTTAAAACAGTATGATACAATATTTCAAAATTGATCTTCTGCTAGGTTGTCTGTGTATGTGCTGGTGTGTGAGTGTGTGCATGTGCATGCACTGATGCGTATGTGTTGGTGTGTGTGTGGGGATGTGCACACACGCTGATGGGTGGCCCTGTTTGATGACATTATAGCTTTCCCCTTAGTTGTCGCTTCTCTAAGCTCATTACCCTAGATGGTTGGCATTCGACCACCCAGTCCACTGTTGGTACCCTATGTTTATTAGTTAACTTTACACATGTAGTACCCAGGGCTGGAGAAGCTATTTGGAAAGTCCGTAGGTGGGCTGAGCAGGAAACGAGCCGGATTTGTTGCTGTGAGCAGTCGTTAGTGCAGCACATCACTGCTGTGTACCGCAGTCCTCACCGGTGCTGCTGCACAAAGCAGCACCTGTAGAATTAAGTCATTTTTATCCAGAAGGACTAAAGGCATCTACTAGGGACGTTCTGTGAATGCAGTACAAATGTGCGCTGAACTGTCAGGAGTTTTTAATTTGCATTGCATGTGTAGCTAGGAGAGCCACAGGCAGGTTTGTTGGCAGGGGTGGGAGCCATTGCTTTATGAGGCGCTGCCTGCAGCTGTGCAAATACTTTGTTTCACTTTTTTGCAATTTCACGTAAAATGCCCTGCAAATATGTACAAAATGTTCTAGAGGCAAAATGTTGATTTAATGGCTTAAGGCTGACCGTAGTTCATCAAAAGTGCAAATAAAAGTTTAAAAGGGGGCCCAAAAAGTACGAGAAGTCTGACTGGACTTTCTGTTTTCTCCATGTTACAGGGACCCGCTGCCCCACCGATTTCGCTGAGGTTCCCTCCATTCTCATGGAGTACTTTGCCAACGATTACCGAGTGGTCAGCCGGTTTGCCAGGCACTATCAAACTGGACAGGTAGGGGGACAGTGATATGATGGTGCCCTCTGGGTACCTAGTGGGTCATGTGGTGGAGAAGATTCAGCGTGGATTCAATACCCCAAATGTGAGATTGGTCCAGTCCCCACCTTCCCACTTCTCCATCATTTCTGACACCTACTGCCCACAAGGTACATCTCCTTTCACTGCCCACACTCAGGACAGGCCTCACAGGTTACAAGGACACCAGACAGACGGCGACCAGCCTCACTTTCACTGCTGCAACCTCCCAGCCTCCTCCCCCAGACCCCCGTCCCCTGCATCTTTGGCCTCTGTAATTGACTGGCATCACTCGTGAGTATGGATTTACTGCAGTCATTGATGTGAACCAGGACTGTCGCAAGGAAGAGCTGCATGGGAGGGTGGCCAGCACCAGATGGCGATGTCTCCTAGACACACGCAGGACTGGCCAGGGAGCTCTTGCGACCTCTGTGTGCAGCGCTTTCACAGGCCGCCCTGCGTGACCTGCCAGATCAGGGATCAACAAAGTGCAGCTCACTGGCCATGTGCAGCTCTTTCAGGAGGTGCGTGTGGCTCCGGAGTAAAATTGAAAATGAACATACAACTATCCTCGTTTCATTGAAAGGATATTATTCAGATAATGGTGATTTTGTTTCTGGCTCTGGAATAGTTTTTACATCGTGTGAGAGACAGGATTGGCTCTTCCATCTCAAAAGTTTGCCGGCCCCTGTGCTAGATCATACCTCCTGTGGCTTAATGGCAGCAGCCTCCCAGGTGAGGCTGGTCTGGTCTGGCCAGCACAGTCAGCACACACCAGCATGGATCCTCAGGTGTGTCCTGAAAGGTCCAGGCCAAGGCGCCACAATGACTCCAAGAGTTTTGTCTCAGCAACCGCGGACAAAGGCCACCTTACTTTAGGTCAGCCTAAATTCTTCATCCTACAGGTACAAACTACTAATTTCATAGGGCAACTGGATTGATCCTTTAAAGCTCCAGCTCTCAAATGTTTTAGTCTCAGGATGCCTTGGCACTTTACAAGTTTGTGAGGGTCCTAAAAAGCTTTTCTGTATGTGAGGTTGTGTTTGTCAACATCTAACGTATTAGGAACTAAAATGGAAATGGGTAAAATATTTATCATTTCAAAATTATAAGTGCATTCTATGTTAATTAACACATTTTGATTAAATAACTACACCGAACCAAAACCTGCCACCATCAAATCAATTCCGATTTAAGTGACCTTATGTAGGGTCCACCGCTGGTCTGTCAGTGTGCCTCACTGGGGTGGCTTGTGTTGCTGTGATGCTGGAAGCCATGTCCCTGGTATTTCTAATGCCAGCAGGGTCCCCCACAGTGAGCAGGTGTCAGCAGAGCTTCCAGACCAGGAAGGGACAACAAAGAAAGACTCGGTGCCCACTTTGGAGGAAGAAGGCGCTGAAGACCTGGCTCATAGCTCTGAAGCACTGTCCCACTGAACGCCTAAACAACGGACGCAGAGTACGTCAGAGATACTGCTGCCCGATGGGCCCCTCAGGTCCGACGGCGCTGGAAATGTGACTGAAGAGTTGATTTCTTGGAGCGGAATGGACCTTGGTGACGTGAGTCAGGCGAAGCCTGCGGGAGGGGGGCTTCGTTTGCTGATGGGGCGCGATGCACAGTAAAGAGAGACAGCTGCAAAAATCTAATGATTGGAACATGGAATGTGCGAGGTATGAATTTAGGAAAATTAGATGCGGTCAAAAGGAAATGGCACACATAAGGATCAATCTTCTAGGCAGTAGTGAGCTGAAATGGACTGGCACTGGCCATTTTGAATCAGAAAATCATGATTTACTTTGTCAGGAATAACACAATCAAGAGGAATGACATTATCAGAGAGGGCCTTGCTAAATCCATCATGAAGTACAATGCTGTCTGTGTTTGTGTATATATATATATACACAAACATATATATATACATATATATGTGCATATATATATACATGCATCTGCCTTCAAGGATATCCAATCAATACAACTATTATTCAATTTTATGCACCAACCACACAAACTAGTGATGAAGAAATTGAAGAATTCTAGTGAATTCAGTTGGAAATTGATCAAACATGCAACCAAGATGTGTTGATACTTATTGGTGCTTGGAAACACAGAGTAAGGGTGAGCAGTTGGAAAATATGGACTTGGTGAGTGATAGAGAGATAAAGACAGCAAACGGTCATTCAAAAGACAGGAAAGAAAGAAAAGATCAAAGTGGGTGTCAGAAGAGACGCTGGATCTTGCCCTTAATTGTAGAGTCGCTGAAACAAAGAGACGGAAGGATGGAGTCAGGAGCTCAATAGAAAATTTCAGAGAAGACAAAGCCAATTATGATAACAAAACGTGCGGGGACCTAGAATTAGAAAACCTAAAGTAAAGAACATGCTTGGCATGTCTGAAACGGAAAGAACGCGAGAAAATTCAAGTCTCTGATTGCCATTTTGAAAGATTGTACAGGCAAAAGATTGAATGATGCAGGAAGCATCAAGAGAAGGTGGAAAGAACACACAAAGTCGCTGTCCCCAAGAGAACTAGTGGGCAGCCCACTAGGAGATAGCAGATGAGCAAGGCCCAATGGTGCTGAAGGAAGACATTCAAACTGCATTTACTGCATTAGCCAGAAACAAGGCTCTAGGAATTAACGTAACACACACTGAAATGTTTCAGAACAACCGAAGAGCACTGGAAGCACTCACTCATCTGTGCCAGGGAATTTCGAAGAGAGGCACTTGGCTGGAAGAGATCCATGTTTGTGCCCATTCCAAGGAATGGTGGCCCAACAGAATGCTCAAGCTATAGACTGATATTGTTATCACACACACAAGTAAACTTTTGCTTGTAATAATCCAATAACCGTTGCAGGAGTACATTAACAGGGAAATGCCAGACGTTCAGGCTGGATTCGGAAGAGGACGTGGAACAAGGGATCTCATTGCTGCTGTCGGATGGTTCTTGGCTCAGAGCAGAGACTACCAGACAGATATTTGTTTGTGTTTCATTGACTATGCAGAGGCATTCGACTTTGTGGATCACAGTAAACTGTAGGTGACCTTGAGAAGAATTGGGAATTCTGGAACACTTCACTGTGTTCATTCAGAACTTGTATCAAGAGGCAGTTGTGCAAACAGAACAAGGGCATACTGCATGGTTTAAAATCAGGAAAGGTGAATTTCATGGTTGTGTCTTCTCACCATACGTATTCAACCTGTATGCTAAGCAGATCATCAGAGAAGCTGGGTTATATGAAGAATGTGGTATCAAGACGGAAAGAAGGCTTATTAACAATCTGATATACAGATGACACAACCTTGATTGCTGAGAGTGAGAAGGAATTGAAGCACTTGCTGATGAAGACCAAGGATTGTAGCTTTCACTAGGGATTAGAACTCATTTTAAGGAAGACCAAAACCGTCACAACTGGACTAATGGTGAAAAGGTTGACGTTGTCGAGGATTTTATCTAACTTGGATCCACAGTCAATGCTCATGGAAGCATCCAAAGATGTGCTGCATTAGGCAAACCTGCTGCACAAGACCTTTTGAGGGTCCTGAAGAACAAGGACGTTCCTTTGAGAACTGAGGTGTGCCTGACCCAAACCAGGGTCTTCTCCATTGCCTCATATGCATGTGAAAGTTGAAGATTGAAGAGGACGACCGTAGAAGAATTAATACATTCGAGTTGTGGTGCTGGAGAATATTGAAAGTCACATGACGGCTGAAAGGACAAACTGATCTGTATTGAAAAAAGTAAGACGAGCGTGCTTATTGGAGGCAAGGATGGCAAGACTTGTCTTACACATTTTGGACATATTGTCTGTAGAGACCAGAAGGCCATCATGTTTGGTACAGTGGAGGGGCAGCAAAAAAGAGCAAGGCCCTTGAAGAGATGGATGGACTCAGTGGCTGCATTAGGGGGCTCAGGCAATGGAACGGTTGTGAGGATGCCACAGCACCGTGCTGTGCTTTGTTCTGTTGTGCACGGGTCACTGTGTCGGAGCGGACAATGGCTCCTAAGAACAACTAACGTGTATGGTTCTGAGAGCAGGCAGCCTTGTCTTGTTCTTACTGAGCTACTAGTGGGCTTGAACTGCTGACCTTGTGGTTAGCAGTCCATTTCCTAACCTACAGGACAACAGTGAGAAGAAGCTTGTCCTATGTTGTGTCTGTAATCTTGGACTTAAGAGAAGATAGCTAGATCACATAGCTCTTTCCCCCCACCCCCAACCCGTTTTGATATGTTGTGCTGAACTGCTGTTCCCTTTCTGACTCATAATGATCCTGTATGTTGAGGGTTTCCGCCGCTGTAAGTCTTTCCCAAAGCACATAGCCTCATCGTTCCCTTGAAGAGCAACTGAGGGGTTTAAACTACCGACCTTGCAGTTGACAGTCTGATGCGTAACTTAACAGTGCCCCCACCCCCAACCCACACCAGTAAGGAGGTGGAAAGGGAGGAGAATTTTAATGCAGATATTCATGGGTGCTCTTCCCTGATAACTATGTTCAAACCCCAAAGTGGCTGCTCTCTAAAGCTAAGCGCATTTGGAATTGGAGCTCTGTCAGTAAGGCTCTCGTCCTCTGCGCTGACAGAACCCACTGGTCTGTCTTGCCTTTTGAATGCCCTTTTCACCCTTGAACACCATTGGCTAAGTTCGACAGATTTTCCCATGGACACATGTCATTATGCGATGTTTATCTTTAAAGGTCCAGTTCACTAAATGCCACTATCAGTCTCGGCTGGGAATGCCTTTTGGTCTCCCATGCGATTGCATTCACCGTGGGAGAGAGTTTTCCAAATTCCTAGGCTTTGATGAAAATTCAGTTTTATCACTAGCTACAAATACAGGAGCACTTCAGAGTTCCTGGGAAAATGGAGCAGAAGCTAATGGAAAATTCCCGGGAACCCTTTTGAAGCCTCCTCCTTTGATCATGTGTTTTCTGCAAGTGACAAGCTCCCTTCCTTCTCATTTTTGAGAAAATGTCTGC